GCTACCGCTGCTGCTGGGTTGAGCTTCGCTAGTCCGGAGCGGATCAAAAACACAACATTCGTTGAAAGCAATCGCGTGTTTTTTGAGCAAATGCTTTTGCATGTTCGTAGTGTTTCCTCCCTTTGATGAAATCTCTACTTTGCAAGTATTGCACGTTGCCCTGTTGTCATCCTTTCGCATAAAGTGTAACCAAACTTTTGAGCGTTTGTACCGCTCAGGCGCCGTGTTTCCTACTGGGTAAAAGACGCTACTCAACGTGATGACGTCATTCGGGGCGACTGGAATCGATAAGGGAATCGTTTGTAAAAGTGGCAAACAATTCCAAGGAATTGAAACAGTGGGAACCGGTTCTCAACAAGAACCGGTTTTCGATACCCATCCCTAGCCAGCAGTGCCAAAGGATCCAGAACCACATGACACCGATGATAAGCTCTGACTCAAACTTCTGCTTCTCCGTCAGCTGCAGGTATTGTCTTGCCTTTCTGCTCATTATTCTCATGGGTCCATGCTGTAGCAGGTCAGAAGGGCCCCTAGCGCCCTCCCAAATGAAGACGTGGCTGCATTTCTGTCAAAATCTAGCGTCTCTGCGACTGTGTAAAAATCTAGACCAGGTGCTACTCCGCTGACCGCTGTTGCCAAAGTGCTTGCTCATAGGGGGTCATATGATTGTTGGCTTTTTCTCTGTATGTATTATTGTAGGGTCTACCTTACAATATAAAGTATCTTGAGGCCACTGCTGTTGTGATTACCTTTTCTAGCAGTTGTCGTAGTTGCTTGGTTCGAGCATCTCTGGAACAGACAGTCTGCTGAGGAGCCACCACTGTACAAACACATCGACCCTCTGAGTCCTGAGCTGAACTGTAGACCTGCCAGCCCTCCTCAGGGGTTGAGGGACCCACCTAAATGAGGGTACGATGAAAATTAGGACATTATTAAAACAACAGAAATATGATGTGTTCTTCACAAGGATCAGTGTGTCTAAAAAAGAAATCCATTGCTAAAGTACCAAAAACCTTCAATAGCTATACTGTCCAGCAGAAGATCCACTTTTATTATAATTTTTACTGTTAACAGTCTTTGTATTTCAGCTGTAAATCTATTCTGTCTATGTCACTCTCACACTGAAGCTAATCTGCTGCTATCCATCGGATAATCCGGATTATTAGCAGACTTATTATTAACTGATGTGAGAAATGTCATTACATATTAAATACATTCAGAACACTTCCATCTGGCTTCATTTGTTCCCATTTTATCAACCTATGCTGCTGAGCAAGGCAATGATGCGGCTTTATCCGCTGAAATTAATTATCGGGCTGAAAACCACGTGACCTGGATTAATTATTAATAACTGAAAAATGGTTGCATAAAGGGAAGGTAGCTAAAAACCATTAACCCAGAATTATCTCAAAGAAAGCAGATTTACATTCTGACTTAAAGATAATCAGAGATTTGGTCTCTGATGCAGATCAAGATCGATTGACACCACCATTTTCTCACCAACATGGAAGTGTGTCAGAAAAAAGGTTTTACAGCCTGTGACTGAAATTCACCAGAAAGCACCAAAACAGATCGGAATACATGATACCATGAGGGAGTCCTCACTCGGCAGAATATAAATAGAAGCAGGGTCGTGTTACCAGAGTGAAGTGTGATCCGAGCAGCAACAGCAGCAGGTAAGCACTCAGCAGATTCTCTTCAGACTCCATCTCCTTCTCCTCAAAGGCTAGACACATCTACGTTAGCCTGTTTCTTATGGATTCAGCTGGTTATGAAGCTGCTGATTAACTGGGTTATTTGTTCATCTGCTACCTGACGCTCCCTCTGCTGCTCTCAGCTCCTCCTACTGCCTCCTCCTTCCTCTTCTTCTCTGATGCGACGCCAGAAATCAGCCAAGTGGAAATAAAACCGCTCTGCTGAGTGTGTGTGTGTGAGTATGTGTGAGAGAGAGAGAAAGAAAGAGATGATGATGTCACAGCCTGCCTGATGAACAGATCGGTGGAACAGCAGCAGAAGGAGGAGGAGCTGTCCATGCTGCTGAGTGTGTTCCTGCAGGAAGACATTTGGTCTCAGAAAATGTCATCTTTTTCTGAAATGTTGTATTTCATATAAATATTTTCGATTTGAAGAATTAAAACAAATCTTGATGGGGTTCAAGATATTATAGAGAGTTTTCTGTTCATGCATGAACTCACCTGTAAGGTTCATGAGATTAAAATTATCATGTGGTTACGTCCGATCCAAAAGACTAAATGAAATAATAAAATATGTTACAAAATCTAAGAACTAGTTCTAATATATACAAATAGCTCAATTCTAAATATCCAGAATATTATCTAAATTAAATATACATGATTGCCAGTACTAGGGGTGGGTTTTAATAATCGATTCATCGATTAAAATCGATTCTAGCTTGGATAACGTGATATCGATTCATTAAAATCCTGAATCGATTTTTTTATATAAATGTATTTTGTCACAAAATTTTGACAACCACCAAACATTTAAAACAGTAAATGAAAGCAGGAACATGGCTTCTGCACAAAGACATAAACACAAAGCGTGGACCCGCAGATCAAAATCAGTGAGATTTCACCTTTCTTACCCGACGGCACGGACACGGTCGGGTCTGAAAGCCGACAGCTCACTGATTCTGATGTTTCGGCGGGTCCGCGCTTTGTGTGTATGCCCTTTTTGCGCTGATTCTAAAGCTGTTAGTTTTATCTCTGAACCTGATCCAAACTACGCTTCACATAAACATCGTCATGAATTCACTCTGACTTTTGCTGTTTTGCTTCCACCAGGATAAAATCACACTTCATGCTGTCACGATCCTGGGTCTTGTGACCCAGTGTTTTGAGTTTTAGTTCATTTTGATGTTTTAGTTTATGTAAGCCCTTCAGGTTCCTAAGTTCATTTGTTATCATGCTTAAGTGTTTCTAGTTCTTATTATTTCCCCCTCGTGTTTCCAACTATGGTAAATCTCCCCTGCTCTTCATGTGTTTCATGTCTGTGTCTTACATTGTGAAGTTCGGGTTGTCATGTCTACGTCTCATTATGTTTCCTGTTTTATTGTGAAGAGGTCTGGTGTTTCTGTGTTCATCGTGTTCAGTTTTACTCTTCCCCTGTGGCGTTGTTATGTTCATGTTGATCTACTGTGCCTTTCTGTTCCATGTTTCAGATCCCTATGTTCTGTCTCCCCCAGTCTGTTAAGTCCACATGTCTTGAGTTCCGTCAGTGTGTTTCCTATTTTACTTTCACAGTCTGTTCTATGTTAATGTTTCTAGTTTTGCTTCCCTTGCCTCGTCCTGCTTAATTACTCTCAGCTGTGCTCTCCTCCTGTGGCTCATTCCCCCTCGTTATCCCTCAGTGTATTTAAGCCCCATGTTTCTCTTTGTCAGTGTTGCGTCCTCCATCATAGCTGTGTGATTTTTCCCTGTGGCTCCTTGTGCTTTAGTTTTCCCAGTTTAGTTTATTTTGTATTGTTTTACCTGTCCCACTCCATGCCAGCAATAAAGCTGTGTTTTTTGAGTTTACCTTTTGTCTCTGTGAGTTTGCGTTTGGGTCCTACTTTTGCCTGCACACAGCCGTATTGTGACACATGCACAGCTCTCTCTCTCTCTCTTTCTCAGTGTACTTCAAGAACAGTTTCCCGTCTATCCCTGATATCTGTTTTCTGCATTATTCGCTTGCTTGTTACGCACAAGACTACAGTTATTTACAGCGCTGTCGGCCGATGTTTATTTTTCCTTTTACTTACTTCCGAAAAGAAAACCTAATTTCTGCCGTTCAATAGGCTTCTGAACAAATTTAAACTTTTTAAAATTATACAAAATGCAAAATGCTTAGCCATGTCTCTAATAAAACCGCTGTAACTTCAGAGCTAATGTTCATAAGTTGATTAATGATTTTCTTTCATTTTTGATGTACTGCAGAATATTTTTATAAAATCCCAGGCTGGAAAAAACACCTTCATGTTTTTCTGTGTTTTATCTTTTCTACTTTGACACAAAGGCCTCTGCTGTGATGCTCACACCTTTGATAAAGTCTTGCGAGTGTCAGCTTTCTTTTTATAGATACAAAAATATGTAAATGTACTGATCTGAATTATAATATTTCTGACTGTCTGAGGCAAAATTTCCCAGATTCAAATCGAATTTAATCGAATTGAATTTAATCGAATCGTGGATCGAATCAATTCAGGACCTTGTGAATCGGAATAGAATCAATTCTAGAAATCAGTGATGATACCCAGCCATAGTCAGTACTCTGCTGCAGCTGTCACGGTTTGCCCTGGCAAACTGTGGGGAAGGAGGCCCCAAAATGCAGTGCGTTTATTTACAGTGAAGTAAATAGTACACAACAATAAATCCCCGTTTCCAACTCCCGTGCCGTGTCTTCTTCTCAGTGCTCTTGCTCCGTGTCTCCGCTCCCATGATACTTGCTGCTTGCTGCCCTCCTGTTCCCGCACTCCTGCTGGAAAATCCACAGAGGCAGCCGTTAACACACAACTGAACAGCGACAGACTAGCACTCACTGATTTGGCTGAAAACACTGATGGGTAGTCACTCAACGATCCCGGTAGGCAAACTGCAGAGGGTCCAGCTGGTGGCCTGTAATGTCTTTCAGATGGGCTAACACCAGTCGTTC